AACCAAAGTATTTAGCACTGAATTTCCAAATCTGTCCCATTTGAATTATTGTTAAGTCAGTGCCAGCCTTCGCTATAGTTTTCTTCTGACAGTATCATATTGATGTCATCCCACTGAATATCCATATGAATAACAGTATGAGAGACATAAAAAGATAAAAGAAAGAGGTAAATGAAAATAAATGCCCATTATTAACAGTGCAATTTATACCTGTGGTCTACTAGCAGAGTTTTTTTTTTTTTTTTTTTTTTTTAAGATTATTGTTTTTTAAAATGGATTTTTAAAATATCTAATTATTTTAACCAGATGTTATTCTAAGTACATTCTTGAATATAATGTCAGTACAGATAAAAAGGTTTTGTTAAACAAATAATGGCTCCTTACAAGCACTGCAAATTGATGGCAAATTAAGCAACTTCTCAGAATCAGATTTGTATGCTTTGTGTGTATGTGTGTTATATAAAATAATAAATTCAATAGCCCTAACAACATTTCATAGAAAAACGTCAAAATCCATCAGCCAGATGGAATATGATATTTATCTCCATATCTGTAAAAATAGCATTTATTTAACCTATGAAACAATTTTATCTCTGATTTTATCTCCTACCATTAATATAATTCTCTATATTTTAGAAATGTAAGGTATTATTATTATATTAAAGGTTTCAGAAATAAAGCCTCATTGTCAGTATAATAAATACATTAAGAGGAGAGAAAAGGGAGATATGTCTATTATCTGAATTATTATAATAGACATTCAATGGTTTTATTCTAGATGTACTCTAAGTGGGCAAGACTGAAGAATAAAAACTTAAGAATCATGAAGTTGCAAAAACAAGTAAAAAAGATTTCCAAGACATACAATTTTACTGTATTGAGCTTAATAATAATTTAAAGAAAATAGTTAACAATATTTCTCTGATTTCTGGCTAGTTCCACTGTATTATAGGCTGTGGACTATACATTTTCATACTTGAAAAAATCAGTGTAGTACATAGGAAGGTGACACTGCAAACAAACAAACTTGAGACAGCAGAGATGTGTGAAAAAAAGATGCACGTGGTGAGCAGGGAGTGGGAAATGTCATATTAAATAAAATAAAAGCAGGCCGGGCATGGTGGCTCACACCTGTAATCCTAGCACTTTGGCAGGCCAAGGCTGGCGGATCATCTGAGGTTGGGAGTTCGAGATCAGCCTGAAAAACATGGAGAAACCCCATCTCTACTTAAAAAATACAAAATTAGCCAGGCATGGTGGTGCATGACTGTAATCCCAGCTACTCGGCTACTCTGGAGGCTGAGTCAGGAGAATCGCTTGAACCCGGGAGGCAGAGGTTGTGGTGAGCCAACATCGTGCCATTACACTCCAGCCTGGGCAACAAGAGTGAAACTCCATCTCAAAAACAAAATAAAACAAAATAAAAGCAATGCACAACAGCAGGAGAAACTGGAACAAAGACAGTCTCGATGATAAGAAACAAGATATATAATTCTATATACAGAAATCCTTTGAGTTGCATAAAAATTAATGGCTTATATTTTCATTGCCATGTCTTGATTAAACCCCAATGGAAACAATCTGGTTCACTTCAACTTTTCAAGCAAACACCATGGCTCAGTACTGGTTCTCTTTTCAGTATCTGCTTCTTCAGTGGGCAAAACAGCACTGTATAGATGTTGGACTGCGTGAATTCCGAAAAAGTAGAAGTTAAACATTTTTTACATGTATTCTGAAGGCTTCTCTGTGGACAATTTATTTAAAATGTACAACAAGACACTAAAATGTGTTATGCCTGCCTGTGAAATAATTGAAATAATGAAATTTTCTCTATCTTTTCCTCTTTATTTTCCATCTACCCTCCCTTTTCTCTATATATGTTTTGCTTCTCTTTCTGTTGGAAAAAGTGATAATTGCAAAACTGAACTGTTATTAAGGCTTGTTTTAAATCAGTGCCTGGGAAATAAATTAGCCCCTAGTCTCACACAGTAATAATGTCAGTAAATGAGAGCTTCCAGTTATGGTGCAGGAAATTAAAGCAATGATGGCCAAAGCTTTAACAAAGTCACAAGAGACTACATATTATTGATTCTAAGAAAAGATAGATTTCTACTATCCAAAAAATGACATCTGTCTCAAAGTAAATGACTAAAACACAAACCAAACAAATTGAATGAGTTCAGTAACAGGACAATTTCCAAATACCTAAGGAGAAAAAAAATAATGTAAAAGAAAAATATAATTTGGAACTTCAAGAGAGCAAAATGGAGCTACTTAGCAACAATATTTGAAATAGTATAAGGTCACAGATAACTATATTACTCAATTTCATGGTAGAAAATGCATTGAGAAAAATGTAAAGTCCCATGATCTAGGTGAAATGACTGCTAGGGGCTTTCTTTTTTGTTTCGATGAAAATATTCTAAAATTAGACAATAGTGATGCGTACATAATACCATGAACATCCTAAAAACAACTGAAGTGTATGCTTTAAAAGACTGAATTTTGTTATATGAATATATCAAAGATATTATTTAAAAAAACAAATAAATCTATATCAATCTAACACCCCTCCCCTAAGATATCTTTAGGGACAACCTCAGATAATGTGTTTTGTTTGTTTGTTTTTTGTGTTTTTTTTGCTAATCCTAGTCTGTATCACAGATGCCACTGGAATCAACAGAAAAAAATCACAGACTTGATTACAATTCACAAAGGTGAGATTAAAAAAATAATAGTTATTGGCATATTTAGACAAATAGTTTTATACAGCCTGTCAGTGTACTCAAGACAAAGACTAGACAAATGGTTTTATACAGCCTGTCACTGTACTCAAGACAAAGACTCAACGTGAATCAGTCTTCTTTTAATTGTAGTGTTGGTGCCTAAAATAGCATAGTTCACATATGCTGTTTTAACTATGCTCCCAATAATTCTGGCGTCCTCTTCTTGTCGTTCCCTTTTTATGAATCCTCACTTCTGAGAAGCAAGCTGTTTTACTGCCAGCATGTTCAGACTGCTGATTGCCGGTGGAAAGTCATGAAATTTGGCTTATTAACTTCTGTACAAATTGAAGTTATCCAACCTCATCTGAGCCTTCACTGCTGCTTGAAAATCTTTTTATTAATATCTAATTGGCTCCTTAGCACATTTTCCATAGTCTTCATTTCAAAGCTTTTCAAATCCGTTCTCTTGACGTGACCTCACCTATTCACTCAATAGAAATCAGCATCTTTTACTTGATGGAAAAGTTCCTCTGCTTCAAAATGTACCTTGCCTGTCCTTTTCTTCACACTCACCTCAAAAAAGTGAGGTCATTTTACAGTTTCAAAAAAAAAAAAAATTCCTAGTTTATTTGAAATAACCTGACTTGGTTTATCTCACATCTGCTACCAACTAACTCTATAACCACAGGCAATGCAATTAATTAATCTAGTATTTTATTTTCTCACCTGTAAAATTAGTGCCATGGACTTTGCAAATTCTAAGACCACTTTTATTAATAAATCAAGAGTTTCCTAATCTTGTGTTGAGTCTTGTGTCATTCTAACCCCCAAGACTTTTCGCTTTCATTTGGCCCATATGTACCATAAGGAATTTTCTCTCTACGAATCTCCTCCTATTAATTTGATTCTTCTCACCCTAGATATGCTTGACTTCATATTTAAAATCTTCCTTCATGATTATCACATAAGTTAATATTTTCACTATTTTTCAATCAACTTACTTCCAGGTGTACATAACACTATTACTACTGACTTATCTCTTCACACCTCCCAATTTGACTTCTGCTTCCAGTACTTTGCAAAAATGGCTGTTGCACTACTTGGGAGGCTAGGCAGGTGGATCACTTGAGCCCAGAAGTTCCAGCAGCCCAGGCAACATAGAGACCCTGCCTCTTAAGAAAAAAAAAGACTTGTTTAAGAGGTCAAATGTTTTTTTTTTGTTTGTTTTTGTTTTTTACTTAAGTTAATTTTGACATAAAACACCACTGATGGTGGTTTTCTGTTTTAGTTTTGTTTTGCTTCTTAGAGATGAGTTCTCACTCTGTCATCCAGGCTGGAGTAAGGTGGCATGGTCACAGTTCTCTGTAATCTCAAAGGCTGGGCTCAGGCGATTCCCCTGCCTCAGCATCCTAAGTAGCCTTATAGACATGCGCCACTGTGTCTGGTCACTGATGGTGTTTTGAAACACCATCTTGAGACTTTCTTCTCCCTTGCCTTGAATCTGAACCTCATGGTAATCTTTATAAGCCTCTGCTTACCTCTTCTTTTTCTCTACTTGTAATTTTTCTCCTGAGGCTATGTTCTAAATATGATTATTCATCAGAGGTCTATCTTGGTTTACTTTCTAATCTTCTCATAAAACTTTGATTTACTCTGGAGATCTCAACTGTTATACGCATGTAGATTACAAACATATTTTTCTCTGAACTCCATGCTTATATGCTTCACATCTTGATAGGTATGTCTTAGCAATTTAAAGCTATGTTGAAAGCAAAATTCATCACTCTACCTCAATGTCTACCCAGGAAAAAAGGGGAAAAAACACAGGCTGTCCCTGCTCCTATACTCTTCCTGTTGATGACATAAAAGGCTTTCCAGTGACTTGAACTGACCTGTCAGGAAGAAGAGAAGCCAGCAATGTCAGGGACTGCACCATCCTATACTAGCAAACAGCTCTTCATACAGCTAGTTCTTCCTTTGACTAATGTCTTAATGTTCTGAAGAAAAATAAAATTATGATCTCTTCGTAATTACACAAGGTTATGATGTAGATGTGGAAAAATTATACTGTTTTAAAACAGCATCGTGGTAAGTCTCAAGGTATCTTTTTCTTTTTACATCGTAACCAAAGTATAACCATGGATTGAATTATACACATTTGCTGCTCAGTTTCTTCATTTATTGCTGTGAGGTAATATAAAGACCTTAGCTTCCAAGAAAATCCAACACTTTTATTTCACCTAGATTTAAAAAGAAAGAAAACAATAAACTTACACTTTATCTGTTCCATAACTCCTGTAGTCTACTGCAGCTGACACAGCCACAATGAGTGCAGGCATCCCATAGCCGACCAGATAAAAGTATTTCCTACGTGAATGTTCACTCTCAAAAACCTCCACCAGCATGATATAAAGCTGCACCCCCTCCAGGAACATCCAAGTGAAGGCAGCCAAGAAGAAGAAATGTAAGAGGGCAGCGAAAACAGCACAGGCAATCTAGGAAAAGGAACAAATGATTTAGTCAAATCACTACCACATGGGATACTGGTCAACTGCCATAAAACCAAATTAAATATTTACCGAAACTGCATTACAATAGGTCTGCAAAATAATCATCTAGGGAAGATTCTTAAAACACAGATATTAAAACTAACATACTTAAATATAATCTACCTTTGAAAACTGCCTTTAACATTAATAATGGCTTATGGATGACAGCATATCATCAGAATAAAAAAAATACTTAGGAAAAATTCTAATAAAAGTCTATGAATAATTATTCCTGAGAAATGAGCATAAATATTTTAAAATAGATTTTAAGAATTTTTTCTCTTAGCCGTAATCATGAGTTAGAGTTAGAGTTAGAGTTAGAACATACTAACCGAGTAAGTTTTTCAATAGTCAATGAAAGAGAAACATTAAAACTAAGGGGAAAATTAAATAGTGTAGTTAATTGCAGTATTTTCATGATGAGATTATTACTATTTGTTTGTTTCATGATGAAATTAATTATTAGTAGTTGTTTATTTCTCCCTGCCTGGTATCAAAAAGGATTTAAGGTGGTGGTGGAAAATTCATGGTGAATATGAATAAAAATTGATCTACTTAAATGTTCCCAAACTGCTTTCTTTCCTTGATTTTTTTGTTATTGTACTAAATACTGGTTTAGACAAGCTTGGTCAAAAAAGGCAGCCAGTTCTCATTTTTGTATATTTTCTAAAGTACTACAATTTTCAGCTGACCAACTATCAATTTCTTACCCTTATGTCAGTTCCTGAATTCTCATTTCTTTGAGTTCTTGTTCCTTATAGGAAGCCCTGATTAAAATCTATAACTGCTACTGGAAAAGGGCAACAAACTTACAGAAGTTATCAGAGTAATAGAAATTCATTGGTGAGTATAATCTCTATGAAATGAGACAAAAGGGCAGGTGAAATTTTGGGTTACAAAGATGACAATGAAGGAGAGATCAGGAAGTCTTACATCTGAGGAGCTGGAAAGAAAGCTGATCCTAAACACTACGTGGAGTGCAGAAAAGGACACCTCGCTAGCAAGGAGAGTAAAGACAAGTTTTGCTGAGCTGCACTCTACCCATGTTTTTCATATCAATCATTGTTCTCTATATTACTTGTTAGAAATGAGTTTTGTGTAGTCTGCAATATTTGGCGAAGTTTTTCATACCATATGTAACATCAGGAAACAAAAATAAGAATAAGGTTTCTAAATGAAAAGAAATCACACAGCATTTGAATTGCAAGCTAACAAGAGAATAAAATGATATATTCTTGGAAAATAACACAATTTTCCATTTCTTGCTTTTTTGAGTTGGAACTTCAACTATTAATTTTTGTTATCATAAGGCTTTACTTTTTTGGGGAAAGAAATGTGTACTTTGATTGCTTATTCATAGGTATGCATTTATGGGGAAAGCTGTCACATTAGTATATGATATCCAATTAAAAATATAATCACCATAATTGTACCCTTTACAGTCATTAATCATGAATGTGTAATCACAAACATGAATCCAACTGCATTTTTATTGTAAAGTACTCCATACATATGGACACATACCAGAAAACAGCATTAAGTAAGCGAACTATTTATTATGCTCAAAAGTCTTCTACAAAATGAAACTTTTCTGCTCATTTGCAATTTTACTCATGATAACAAACTTGTATCATGTGCATAAATCTTAAGTAAACTGAAACTGGCTCACAAAAATTATAAGTGGGCATAAAGTCTGTGTAATATTAAGATACTGTCTATTATTTACATTTTCTGTTTGGTTTTACCAACAGCTGGCTAGTGCTGTTCTTTTTTTTTTTCTTTTCTTTCCCTTTTTCTCTTCCTCCTTTCCTTGATACGAGTAAATGTAGGGTGCAATAACGTGTAAGGTTAGCACTTAAAGACATGACCAGAACTCATCCAAATATAAAGTGCCAAACGAAAATTGGGAAGAGCTTACATATACTAAAAATGATTTGCAGGTTGTACTATTTTCCAAAATACATCAATTAGAAAAACTTATTTTAGACCTGCAGATTTTAATATAATATTGTCTATTTTTAAGGCATATTACAAACTTTAAAACATTATTCTGGCCGGGCGTGGTGGCTCACGCCTGTAATCCCAGCACTTTGGGAGGCCGAGGCGGGCGGATCACAAGGTCAGGAGATCGAGACCACAGTGAAACCCCGTCTCTACTAAAAATACAAAAAATTAGCCGGGCGCGGTGGCGGGCGCCTGTAGTCCCAGCTACTCAGGAGGCTGAGGCAGGAGAATGGCGTGAACCCGGGAGGCGGAGCTTGCAGTGAGCCGAGATCGCGCCACTGCACTCCAGCCTGGGCGCAGAGCGAGACTCCCTCTCAAAAAACAAACAAACAAACAAACAAACAAACAACATTATTCTATTAATTGGAAAAAAAGATATTCTTTCATTTTCTAAATAATTTTACCAAAGTTTCCTCAATATTGAGCCCTGTGGTTAAAACAAAAGAAAAAAAAATGACAATATGTAGTTCCTTAGAAAAACAAGTTTATGAAATAATTTCTGAAGAAATGTACATCTCCTTCATTGCTAATGGGAACACAAAATGGTACAGCCACTTTGGAAGACAATTTGTCAGTTTCTTTAAAGCTAAATATACTCTTACCATGTGATCCACAAATTGTGCTTCCTGGTTTCACCCAAAGGAGTTAAAAACAGGTCCACACAAAAACCTGCATACAAATGTTTATAGCAGCTTTCTTTGTAATTGACAAAAGCATAACTGACATCTTGGAAGTAATATCTCATCAGACAATGAGATACTATTTAGCACTAAAAAGAAATAAGCTATCAAGTCACAAAAATGCATGGAGGAAATTCAAATATATAAGACAATTTGAGAGAAGCCAAGTCCAGGCATGGTGCTTCACATCTGTAATCCCAGCACTTTGGGAGGCTGAGACAGGTGGGTTGATTGAGTCCAGGATTTTGAGATCAGCTTGAACAACATGGTCAAACCCTGTCTACTAAAAATACAAAAAATTAGCTGGGCATGGTGGCAAATGCCTGTAGTCCCAGCTACTCCAGAGGCTGTGGTGGGAGGATCGCTTGAGCCTGGGAGGTGGAGATTGCAGTGAGCCAGGATCATACCACTGCACTCCGGCTTGAGTGACAGAGTGAGACTTTGTGTCAGAAAAGAAAAGAAAGAAAAATGAAAGAAAGAAAGAAAGAAAGAAAGAAAGAAAGAAAGAAAGAAAGGAAGGAAGGAAGGAAGGAAGGAAGGAAGGAAGGAAGGAAGGAAGGAAGGAAGGAAGGAAGGAAGGAAGGAAGGAAGGAAGGAAGGAAGGAAGGATGGAAGGGAAGGAAGGAAAGAAAGAGAGTGACCAATCTGAAAAAGCTACATACTAAATGATTCCAATCATATGACATTCTGAAAAGTCAAAACAACGGAGATAGTAAAAAAGAAAAATAGTGGTTACCAGAGATTAGTGGGAAAGGAGAGATTAAACAGAGGAAGCACAGAGGATTTTCAAGGCGGTGAAAAAAACTCAAACCCAGAGAATGTACAATACCTAGAGTGAAACCTAAGGTAAACTATGGAATCTGGGCGATAATGATGTGTTGATGTAGGTTCATCTGTTGTCACAAGTGTACCTCTCTGGTGGGGGATGTTAATAATGAAGGACACTATGCATGTGTAGGTGCAGGGAATAGATGGGAAATGTCTGTAGCTTCTGCTCAATTTTGCTGTAAAGCAATAACTGCTCTAAAAAACAAAAGTCTATTTAAAAATGAAATATACACCTTATTCATAAAGTTTGCTGCTTATTTATAATGATGGGATATGAAAAATGGAAAACTGAGTAAGGCCTGAAAATTAGTATCTATCTTAGATGACTAGAAGAAATGATACTTTCAAACTAAGTAGTTTTAGTATTGGCAGTACTGAAAAGCTGGAAGTGGAAAAATTCTTCACTGGTATCAATGTAGGTTGCTTACTGGTTGGTCAGTTCGGTTGATCCCAATCAGGAAGAGCAGCTCTGCTACAAAGAGACTGATGCAAAGGTTCTTGTGGATGGTGTTACGGTCACTCTGGAGCCCGCGGAAAAAGCAAAATGTGAAGATGCAAATCAGGAGACAAACAAGCGACAGCAAAATTCCAACCCACGTGATCACATCCAGAAGGAGGTCATGGACCGCATCACTGTGCTGGAAACACAACGAAAAAGCCATAAGTTGCGCTTATGCATAACCAATTACAAAGTTTTATAAGGGCCTGGATTCAGAAAGCATGATAGTAATAATGCACAAAATACCCTCTATACCCACAACGAATAAAGTAACTTAATGATTTGGGTTTTCTCTTCCACAGATAGAGCGTTTTATCTTTTCTGTAAGGTGTAAATCAGTTTGATATTCAGAGATGCCAATAGTGTTTGCTTCTTTCTCAGCTACAAACATTTTCAGAATATAAGTAGTTAAAGCAGACCGACTTAATTCTGGCCAAAGATTTCGAGGTAAAACATTTTATTTTTTAAATTTGTATCACTTTTTTGGACTAATTTTCAGACCATCTCCACTAGGAAACACTATTTAAAATTTTAAGCTTTATACTTGGGGAAGTTGTATCTCAACTAATTTTTGAATCATCTAAGGATTTTTAAAATTAAAAATGCAATTCCTTTGTCCTATAAATCTTGTATCATAATTTCCAAGGTTTTGTTATATAAGTATGTATTTTCATAAAGATCCCCAGGGAATTCTGATGAATAGCCACACATGTGTACCATTTATTTTTGGGAAGATCTAAAAGAATGAGGATATTCATTGGATTTATATTCATATTGAATGGCTTAGAGACATCAGCAAGTTTGATCTTTGAAAGATTTTGCATGAATAGAGCCTGTTATACATTGACAGAAAATAAATATTCAGAATTGCTATACTAAAGTGGCATATAGCAGACAACAGAGCTAAGAAACAAGAAAAAGTTCGTGAACTGTACTGAAACATCATGTTTTGGTTCTATTAAAATAGTAGGGGAAGCTCTGTGTCTGCCATGTTCCTTGGTTGTCAATTACTTCATTTCTGTCCTTGTTTTAAGATTCAGAACTCTTATTTCCACCTTGAGATATTTTGTCCCTACCCTAAAAAAACTTCTATGAAACTTTAGAATTTATAGAGGCCCAACAAATAAGTATATCAAGATGTTGAGAAAAGTTGAGAAATTGTCTATGACTGTCAATTCTTTTCCTTCAAGGTTTTTTGAAGAGCCCTAAATACCTAACTTCTATCAGTAGCAGAATGGATAAATGATTGGGTAAAAGGTTAATTTGTACAATGATATTTTAAAGAGTAGTAGAAAATCAGTGTACTATATTTAAAGTCACAAACATGGATAATACACAAAAATCTAATATTTTTTTTTAAAAAAAGCAAGCATCAAAAGGATCTACACACTATGACAGCATTTTTGTAAAATTTTAAAAGATGAAAATCAGGCCGGGCATAGTGGCTCATGCCTGTAATCCCAGCACTTTGGGAGGCCAAGGCAGGTGGATCATGGATCATGAGGTCAGGAGATCAAGACCATCCTGGCTAACATGGTGAAACCCCATCTCTACTAAAAATACAAAAAATTGACCAAGCGTGGTGGCGGGCGCCTGTAGTCCCAGCTACTCGGGAGGCTGTGGCAGGAGAATAGGGTTAACCCAGGAGGCAGAGCTTGCAGTGAGCCAAGATCGTGCCACTGCACTCCAGCCTGGGTGACAGAGCGAGACTCTGTCAAAAAACAAACAAACAAAAAAAGATGAAAAATCAATGGCATTGACTTTTATGAATATACGTAAAATTGGTAAAAGTATAAACATTACATGGAAAAATTCTGACAACAAAGAGTTGTCTTTCTAAGTGATGCCTTTTTGAGCTATATAGATCATACACACTGACTTTTGTTTTAGGATGGAAGTCGTCACATTTAGTTGGCTTCCACACTAAGCCCAATTTTGACCTATATAAATGTTCAGGTTTTTCAAATACTGCATGTTCTCATGTATAATCAGGAGCTAAACACTGAGTATTCATGGACATAAAGATGGCCACAATAGAAACTTGGAGCTACCAGAGGTGGGAGGTAGGGAGGGGGGCAATGGTAGAAAACCTATTGGGCACTATGTTCACTCAATACCTGGGTAATGGGATCATTCGTACCCCAAACTTTAGCATCACAGAATACACTTATGTAACAAGCCTGCCCATGTACCCGATGAATCTAAAATAAATGTTGAAAAAAATGGATTTTAAATGAGGACATTTGAAAAACATATATCCAGATTTTCTTCTTCTTTTTTTTAACTTCATCCTTTCAAAAATTTTTCTGGATGTGGAAATTCTTAGAAGTGAGCCACCATGCTGTAATCTGAATCACAGCATTCCTCATACTGCCAGATATGACTTCACAGTTGTTATTTGATAAAGACCTCCACTAGAATACTGTCAATGAAACAGTTTCGAAATATTCCTGCATACCTCTTGATATATTTCTCAGAAGGAGCTCAGGTCATGAAAGAAAACCACCTGAAATTTTGCTTTAACTGCTTTGTTCTCTGGGGGATACTACCAAAGCAGTGCTGGGTCTGCGGTAGCTTAAATTACTTTTAGTGTTTGAGAATGGAGAGTGGTTAGTGCTACCTGGTTCCCTGAATAGACAGCTATTTGCTCTCTTCTTTGATTCAAAGGAAAGATGCTGTGATTTGAGAATCAAGTACCAACGTTTAGCACAGCAGTCTTTCATAATGGAAAAATGGCAGGCATAACACCCTCTCAAATGTATCCAAAAGACCTAAAACACCCTTTTGAAAAAAAAAGAAAAAAAAAAAAAAAAGAAGAAGAACAAGAACAAGCAAAAATGATAAGAAACCAAAGAACTCCCACTTTTATCTGGGTAGATGCATTATTAGAAATTTATTTATTTTACTCAGTGCCTTAGTAGGCTCTTCAAAAACCCCATGCAGAGTTACTAAGAGAAGAATATCAGATCTTGAAATGTCAGTAGCAAAAATTTGTAGCACTCAAATATAGAACAAACAAGTCTAGTAAATAAGTCACTTTTAGTTATGACTATTTAGCCAGGAAAACATCAACCCCAACCACCTATATGTCCATGATACTGGGAGGGCAGCACTCATCAAAGACAACTCAATACTTGAATTTTACCAGTAACATGAACAGGAAAGAACAATGGTGTATTAGTCCATTCTCACGCTGCTGATAAAGACATACACAAGGCTGGGTTTATAAAGAAAAGAAGTTTAACAGACTCACAGTTCCACTTGCAGGCCTCACAATCATGGCAGAAGGTGAAGGGGGAGCAAGACACGTCTTACAAGGCAGTAGGCAAGAGGAAGTTTGTGCAGGGGAACTCCCATTTATAAAACCATCAGATCTCATCAGACTTAATCACTACCATGAGAAGAGTATGGGGGAACCACCCTCATTCAATTATCTCCACCTGGCCCCACCCTTGACACATGGGGATTATTGCAATTTAAGGTGGTATTTGGGTTGGGACACAGTCAAACCATATCAAGTGGACACTGAATGTAAATAACAGATGTAAATATGAAAAGCCTTGTTTATAATTAATAGTCTGCCATAACAGAACTTCTAGGAAGGAGGTCCATGCATGGAAAAAAGCAAACTCCTTTCAAGAGGACAACCCCTTGAATTAAACTCCTAGGTATAGTTGTACCAATGTGATAATGGCACAAGGATTCCTTTCTGAGATTACATGTTTGTGAACACTACATAACTCAATCACCTATAAGACAAACTATATACCATTATGTGCCTTGAGAGCAGGCATTATATCAATTTTATTAATATTACATCTTAGCACCTAGTACTGTGCTTAACATTAAAACAATCTATAAAAATATTTGGTTTTGAATGATTATATTCCTGCTTCTATTAGGCTAAATGCCTTAGAGCTGAACCCTCTCATATCAGTACAGCTTTAGCACCCATTTAATCTCCACTTGGATATTTAATAAGATATCAAATATTATATGTCCAAAACAGCTCCTGATCTTATCCTATTCTGCTCTCCTGGCTTCAATCTGCTTTTCCTTCTGTTTTCCTCATTTTAGCAAATAGCAACTTCATTCTTGAAAATGTTTTGGTCAAAAACTCAGGAATTATATTGACTCCTTTATTTCCTTCACACACTACATTTAATCCAACAGGAAATCTTATAGGTCTTACCCACTAAGCCTGCCAGGTTCTTATCTCAACTGCACCAACTTGATTGGAGCCATCTGATTTCTTATGAAGAGCCTCTTAATTGATTCTTAACTGATCTCCCTACTTTGACCCTAATCCCACTTCTCTTTATATTTAGCAGAGCAGAGAGCTTCTTTTTATATATAAGTCATACAACATCGCTCCTCTAATCAAAGCCTCCAATGGCTCCCACTCAATGAAAATAAAACTGAGTCTTTACAAAAGACTTACATAGCCCTAATAACTGCACCCCTGTGACATCATTTCCTATTCTTCCCTTCCTTCAGTTCATTCCACTTCCATTGGCCTGCTCTGTTCTTTGAATGGGTGAGAGATATTCCAGTCCCATGGCCTTTGCATCTGATGCTCCTTTGGCCTGGAATACTCTTCCAAAAGATATCTGCATGGCTTACTTGCCACCCTCCTTTTACTATTTATTCAAATGTCACCTTCCCACAGAGGGTTTTTTCTGAGTCTTCCTATCTAAAATTACAGACCCGTTTTCCGTATTCTGACTCTCTCTATTGCTTTTCTTGTATTATTTTCACCTTACTCCTTATCACTTATATAAACTATATATTTTAATAATTTTTTCTACTTATTTTCTGTGCCCTTCCCAACCAGAAAGAAAGCTCAAAGAGAGTAAGTTGTTTCATCTCTTCTGATTACCACTCCTCCAGGTCCTGGAGAAATAGGTGGTATACAGTAGCTGCACAATTAACGCATTGATTGAATAAATGACCTCTCTTTAATCATCCCTCTCTTCTACAATGGATTTTTATTCAAACTACAAGTTGTATCATGCTGCCCACTAAACAGTCCTTGGGACTCTTCCTCTTAAATCATCAGCTCTAAAATGTTGAGTAAAAGATAAAGAAAATTAGAGCTAGAAAATAAGAAGGTTGTTACATCATAATACCTTAAGGTAT